AGAATAAAATTATGATTCTAGTGCTCGAAACGCCTTCGTCTTCTATATAAATACCTGGAATACGAACCTTTGCCTTAATTCATGGGCCTTCTTCTTCTCTATTTATGGCACACTCTCCAAATTTATCTGTTCTGTGACTCATGAGATTACTGTAAGACAAGAAATAAGACTGAATATCAAAATTAGCCGAGTAATAGCTGACGCACCTCAAGTTCATAGTGGATGTAAGTCCAGTCTGGATGGAACTCGGATATGTCTGGCACCAAGCAAAGCAAGAGTTCCTGACATCGATAGAAGGTCTGCGCGGGTACATCACCAAACCAGACCTGATGCGAGGGACTGAAGTTCTCGCCGGAGACCTCAACCATAGCGACATCCCCACCGCCGTTGGTGCGAAGACCGCTAACAACTGGTACTGGGGTCACCGGCAGGTTAGAAGGGGGTGGAAGTTGCAAGTTTAAGCTTTTCAATGTGGTCTCCTCAAGAGCATCACGAAGGCTGTTCAACTCGAACCACCGATACTCTGCACGATCCGTGCTGATTATGGTCCATGCGGCGGAATCGTTGATAGTCTCGCGGTTCGGGTGATCATCACACTTTACTGCCTGGTGTTGGATAATTTTATCCTGAGAAAGACATAAATACATTCTGTCTGTGTCTTTGAGGTAGAAGGCACACTTGTGTAGTTGACTGACGGGGTCGTCGGCATCGAGCATAACCATCGTTTTGTCAACTTTACGGACAATCTGAAAGAAATGGGATACGAAGCAGTGATACATTTTCGTCTAGAGTAAAAATAGAAAGCTCAAATTTGCTATTTGAGATGATTCTGGTGAAAAATCTGTCTTAAAATACCGAAAATTAATGGGAAAAAATAAACAAGTATCAGTGGAAGAAGTAAAAGGATTACTGAAAAGTAAATAGTAAAAAGGCAGCTAAAGGGGAGAGGAGGGGGAAGAAGAAGAAGAAGAAGAAGAAGAAGAAGAAGAAGAAGAAGAAGAAGAAGAAGAGATCATTGGAACACGAGGTTTATTGTCCTGACGTTTCGGATTCCCTCGGTAATCCTTAATCATAGGTAAGGTTTATTTTCCTGATGTTTCAGATTCCCTCGGGAATCCTTAATCATAGGTAATAGTAGAACAGTCTGGGATTCCGTCGGTAAGGCGCATCAAAGATGTAGAGAGAACAGAACGAGCAGATGCGAAATGAAATCGGTTGAGAGAAAGACACAAACAAGATAGATGAAGGGAAACGGTAGGAGTCGTAAAAGTACACGAACTAGAGACTGAGTGGGTTAACGCCAAACTAACGAATGAACGAAAGAAAAGTAAATAAAGAAGGAGTTGGAAAGTTGGGACCTAATGAGACAACGAAAAAGGGAAGCCAGTGAGAGGCAGCAGAGTAACGTTGACAGTAGCGGAAAAAAACATTTTCTGGGAAATATATATATATAATGAGACGACTAGGTAGCGTAACTCACAAGTCTTGGAAGCGCCATTCCCGTCTCCGAGCAGACCAGCTTCACTGTATGCCCGTAGTGAATGTAGCCATCTTGGACGTTGAACTCCTCCGCTTCGGATTCATCATCAGCGAGAAGGTGGATCGTGAAGGCACCCCACCGACTGGAGCTGGCATGGAAACTGCCCTGGTCTACATGTAGATACCGAGTACTCACTGTTTGCGAGCGCAGACGGTTAAACAGAGCGATCTTCGTTCCGGACGCTATGCAGACTGTTGGTTGCGACGGGAAAAAAATCAATAAGAAAAAGTTGATTTAGAGATGCGTGAGACGGTGTAAAAAGTCCGCCTTGATTGGTGGGCATCCTTACTGAGTGGGTTACAATAGTAAATTTGGTGTGCAAATGCATCATAGGGAGCAAGACTGTCATACCATAAAAAGTACCATCTCTTCACACTCCTACCGCGTTTAGTGAAGCTCCTTCGACCTCTTAAGGATACTCAACATAGCAGTCAATTCAGCGAGCTCTCTTGCTCTTTCTTCCCCGGAATAACCGAAGACATCTCGACTGGCAGAAGCTGGGTAAAGCAAAGGTTGTCCCCATTGGGTGTTTTAAAACGATAATTTTATTGATTAGTTTACGCGATAATATACCATGACATTGCTGTTTTTTGTATCGATTTTTTGGGTAAGAATTTAAATCGTTGTATTCTCACATTCTTTGTCGTTGTTACGCATTGACAGGTTGTAGCTGATGAGCAGTCGCAACATTTTTGGATAAAATAAACTATTGTGCATTATTCGCATGCTTTAAACTCGTACCGGGGAGAAAATGCTTCAGACAGGACGCTGAGGTTCAGTGCTGGAAACTTGTGTAGGTCGACACCCGTAATCGGTTGAAGCATGATTCGTCGGTGAAAATTGATGTCGATACAAAATTATTCTCTCGGGTAGATTCATCAAGGTAATTTGAAAATAGTTGGGAAGGGTGTACAACCCTACGCCCCACATTCATTGTGGAGAATAGGTCCTAGTGGGACCCGTGGCCGATAATATACAAATAGAGTTGACTCTCGGTATTTACCTAATTTTATTGACATCCGAATTTGTTTATTTTGTCCTAAAGTCGGGTCCTGTTAACCGTGTGGAGCTTCCTCAGGGCTTGGCAGGCGTTATTCGGGTTGCACATGTCTTGATGCCGTGCTCGGGAGAGTAAAGGGAAGAGAGTGGAAGATGTGCGGTAGATGTAACACAAGTGTACTACTACTTAAAACTACTCCATGCGTAAGTCACTGTCCCTGCACCAACACACGCTGTGGTGGACATCGTCGGAATCGATGATTGAACGGAACTTTCTCAGGCTGGCAAACTTAGAGGAGATGCCGGTTCGCATTCGCCCCCGAACACTGAACCTCTCGCTCATTCCCCGCAAGGAGTAGTCCAGACATTCCTAAACAGGGCTGATGAATTTTAATTGTCGAAAACCGAACTCGAGTAGCTTGTTTTTAGGTACAGTAGCAGGATATCCAGGGTCGTTGCGCTTGCCGCTTCGTCGTTCATCCACCATCGTCTGGTTCGACGATGTCCACGGCGTGCTTTAACACACTGAAGGC